CCCCCCCCCCCCCGCCCCACCTCCGAACATGTCCCCTGCTGCATACCACCACCACCACCACCACCGCCACGGGTATGAAATACAGAGTTCGAACGCAACATCGTGGGTTCGACCTGTGGTTCCGCCGCACGAAGCCCCCGAACCGGAACGAGGAGGAGGAAGCAAGGGTGGTGACTCACAGCCTGGAGAAAGCGCAAGCAGTAGTGATGGTGGTGTGCGGAACGGCGGCGGGGGTGCGGCGCCTAGCACCGGGGAGGGAGGAGGGGAATCGACTCCGTCGCCATTGCCTGCGGGGTGGAAGGAGGTCAAGGACCCCAAGAGCGGCGGCGTGTATTTTTGGAACAAGGTGTGTGTGGCGTGTGTGTGCAGGAGGGTTGTGTGCACCTTTGGTTTTGTTTTGCTTGGGCGGTACGGACACCGCGTTCGTGTACCGGTCGACCAATGAGGGGACGCCAGTCTTGGGTGGATGTTTGTGCGTCTTCAAGGTGTGTGTAGAGCCTTTGACGGGTGCATGTTTTGTGTGTGCGTCAAATCTCCCCGAACGGGTTATTGTCGTCTCCATAACTGGCAGTCTCTCTTCACCATTTTGCTCGTTTATGCCTCGAAGAAAGGAGGGATACCGCTTCCCTTCTATTTGATCTCAAGATGAACACCGCCGACTCGTGCCCAACCAAACGCCACGACCAGGCCAAGGGGGCCACGACCTGGATTCGACCCACCGGGCCCGCGAGCAGGGGCTCCGCAGATGGGGTCTCCGCGAGTGGGGGGGGGTCAACACCGGGCCTGCCTGAGGGCTGGAAGGCGGTGACACACGCCGCTACGGGTAAGAAAGCGTTTCAGTGCCGCCGTGCTGCTGTATCGTGGGCTTGGTGGCGTGGGTTAATGATGGCTGTGTGCTGAACCGTTTGTTTCTTGCTCGTCGTTGCTGGTGCTACCGCTCTTGCTAGTGCTACCGCTCTTGGTGGTGGTACTGCTGTTATTGTACGGACAGAAGAAGATATTTGAGGAGAGTGATCGGAACGGTTTTTAATGTCCAGACAACAACAACAACAGCAACAACTGCCAATAGCTGGTGATACTGCTATTTTCTGCCGTGTTCGTTTGTTTGTGGTTATGGTTGTTGTCACCTTTACCGTTGCTGTCATTTTGACGCCACGCATCCGCACGAAAATCAATAACAGCAAAACACAACCATTAACCCTCTCTCCCGTTAGTTCAGCACCGTCCGTTCGTCCACGCCGTACGGTGCGCACTGCCACCTTCCCCCCGCTCTCTTGCCGGAACGACAGGCCAGACTCACTACGTGCACGAGGCCAGCGGTAAACGGAGCTTCACACTGCCCGGCTCGGAACCTCCGGACACCTCTTCATCCTCGGGGCAGCGACAGAGGGGAAGGGAAGGGGGGCGGGATCATGCCGGCGGCGGGGGGGGGGG